TTGTTGGACTGAACGATCTGTTCCTACAGAGAGGTGAGAATGTGACAGCTGACTGTGTGGCAATGAGGTCCCTCACTGCATGTGGAGGATCGGGAGATGCTTCTGGAGAGTAGGATTGGGGCTTTTTTGTTCCCTTTACAGTTCCCGATTTTGCTCCGACATCTGGCAAGAAGGTTTTATTTTCACAGGACACTTCTAATCGTCTCTTCATTGTTTTACCCGAATTAGACAGCACTTCTCACTGCCTGATTAGCTAATTCTTGTCTTCAGCAAATACCACCCCCTCCCCCATCCACATTTTCTAACCTGTTTTGTAATGAATAACCGAGACCATCCTGCTTCCTGGCTATAAAACATATTGGGTGGTATTTAAGGCACATGTTAGCCACTGACTGGAGAGAAGCCAGGCTCCCACACTGCCCTCCCTGGGCAAAGCCCAACTCATTCATCTCTGATAAGCTATGAAGGGTCAGCAGGGATGAGGAACCTGGGGATATGAGCGATGGTCGCAAGGTAATGGTTGCACTGGGATTGGGGAGAGGTCCTCAGCAAGGACCAGGGAGTGGTTCCGGGAGGGACCCCTCCCCACATCCTGATGGCAAGCTCCTCAAACGGGCACCAAGTGCTTTTCAACGACAGACCCTCACCATCCCCTAAATCCCCACCCCTCCCAGGAACTCGTAGGCAACCCTGACAGATTTTTCTTTCTTCATCGTGACTTCCGGCCCCGCTGAGACCTGGGTGAGGCTTTAGTTGCCCACTTTATAGCGCTGCTGTCAGCAGTGGGGAAGGAGGGTGGGGATTGATGTTTGCAAGTCTTCCCAGTAATTGGGAGCAGGAGCAGAAAGACACTGAGGTTGCCACCTGACACCCTCCTGTTCGATTTGATACCCCTCCAATATCCAGACAGCTGCAGGAGGGGCATTGAATTCCGCTCGGACTCCCGGAGCCATCTTTCATTTCCAGAAGAGTTGTTGACCTTATTTCATTCTGGCCTTCTCTCGGTTAGAGCACAGCAGACAGTAATGGGCAAACTATGAGGTTGGTTTGGCTCATAGGGTGGAGTGTACACTTTCCAAAGCTTGCTCAGGAATTTTGAATTCTAACTTATTTTGCTCACATTTATTTAGCCATAAAATCTTTCAAATCACTTACGCAGATGTGGAATGTGATGGTTTCAGGGATCCAGGATCTGTTGAGTCTTGGTGTGACTTGGGAGATAATGGAATTGACGGGTCTGTGATTTCTTCAATGTCCGAATGGGAGAGATTGGGTTTTGATGATTTCTTTTTACCAAAGGCTTGCTTGAAGGAGCTTCTCAGCTGGAAAGCAAAAGTCAAACTTTGAAAGATTGTCAAAACAAAAAATCTGGGTCACTAATATCCCTCAGAGAAGGAATGTGCCATCCTTACCTGGTCTGGCCTACATGTGACTCCAGACCCAAAGCAACGGGGTTGACTGCAAACTGCTATCTGACATGGTTGAGCAAGCCATGCTGTACCGGGGCAATTACAGAGACAACAAGTTTTGGCCTCACCAGTAACATCCACATCCCAAGAAGGAATAAAGAGAAACAAATCATGGCGACAATTCTGAAACGGACATGGAGACTGATTGTCATGGTGATGGGCTATCATTTCCTGGACGGGTTTAAAGGTGAATGTTTTAATTGGTTGAAATGGAGCTGGGAACATGACAGAACAGGGATCAAACGGAAATCAGTCAACCAAACCTTTCAACTCAACTGAGTCAAACTGAGCAGCCTGGCAGACAAGGAGAGGTTCAATTCAGGGAACTTTGGAAGCAGGAAAAGCCATTCTTTCACAAGATTAAGCATCACTATATCAGGAATGTGGGAATCTCATGGTGGTCTTGCATGTTGTTTAAAAACAAGTACACACTGAGTTGAAACACATTGCACATTCACCTTGTTACCGTTACTGTTCATCTCCTAAGAGCTAGGAGTAGAAATAGGCCATTCAGCTCCTTGAACCTGCTCCATCATTCAATATGATCATGGCTCATCCTATCTCAGCCTCAGTTCCACTTTCCTGCCTGCTTTTCATAACCCCTTAACCAATTACTAAATGAAAATCTGTCTATCACCTCCTTAAATTGACTCTTCATAGCTCTAATAGAAAAAGAAGGGCTTTTTAAAAAAATTTCATTCATTGGACGTATTCATCACTGTCTGGGCCCAGCATTTATTGCCCCATCTCTAGTTGCCCCTTGTGAAGGTGGTAGTGAGCTGCCTCTGTGAGCCGCTGCAGTCCATGTGCTAGGGTAGGGGTAGGCCCACAAGTGCCTTAGGGAGGGAATTCCAGAATTCTGACCCAGCGACAGTGAAGGAACAGCGATATATTTGTGGGTCAGGATGCTGAGTGGTTGGAGGGGAACTTGCAGGGGGTGGTGTTCCCATGTATCTGCTGCCCTTGTCCTTCGAGATGGAAGTGGCCATGGGTTTGGAAGGTGCTGCCTGAGGATCTTTGGTGAATTTCTGCAGTGCATCTTGTAGATAGTACACACTGCTGCTACTGAGCGTTGGTGGTGGAGGGAGTGGGATGTTTGTGGATGTGGTGCCAATCAAGCGGCTGCTTTGTCCTGGATGGTGTCAAGTTTCTTGAGTGTTGTTGGGGCTTAACCCATCCAGGCAAGTGGGGAGTATTAAAAGTCGGAAGATGTTTCCTTTTAAAAATTCTTAAAACTTTAAGGGAAAGAAAAATGACTGACCCTTGTAACAGGTGGAACGAATTTCTGCAATTTAACATCCAGCAATGATCAGGGAACTAAACTAACAGCCTAACTGTAGCAGCGAATGGTGCCTAGCCATCTTTCTACCTGAAACAAAAATCTTTCTTTGTGCAATTTCTCGAAGAATTTATCTACAAAGCAACCATCGTTTTGAAGCAGCTGGAATATTCCAGTGCAGTGGAGGCCGTTCAGCTCAGGCCATTCAGCTCAACAGCCATTTCAGTGCTAGCCCTTCAAACAGAGCTCCTACTGCACTTGGTTTGTCGGATTTGAAGCACATGTGAGGTTTGAGAAACTGTTTAAATCGATGCGAGCACATCATTTTCACAGCAAGTGCACATTAAAAAAAGTCCAACTTACCCAACTCTGTTTCTTCTTCTTTTTCTTCGAATCGATATCATTCGCACTCCCGATGCTCGAATGACTGGTTGCACTGTTGATGCTTGAAACACTGTCTGAGGAATGTTGTCTTCTAATCCGTATATCTACCAAGAAAAAAGACTCACTTTCCAAGCACTGTGGGATTCTCTATTACTGATAAACTCAGTGAATGGGACAAACGGGAAAAGCCACTTGTGGAGGTCATCACACAGCTTGAAGAAAATTAAAACCAGGAAACATTTATGATTTGAAGTTGAAGGCCCTAGAGGAAGATGAGACTGAGGGAGGTAAGGTTGATTATGATTCTTGTAAATCAATGAGCAGGGCACAATGGAATGTGCTGCGTTTTCATTTCAACACCAGCCTATAGGAGGAAACGTGCACAGGCAGACAACTTTTCATTTAGATCAAACCAAACAGGAAGACCCAGGGAAGGGTTGGCTTGAGTCTGGTTCAGAACAATGTCAACAGTGTGGTTTCGATTACAGCTGAATGGCCTTCAGACCGATCTCCTCACTCTTCCCCCAAGCGGATGGTTTTTATTTTGGTTCATTCATTGGGCCAGCAAGTATTGTCAATTCCTAATCACCAGTTAAGAATTAATAATCCCCATTTACCAGTAAACCACATTGCCGTAGGCCAGACCAGGCAAGGACAGCAGATTTCCTTCTCTAAAGGAAGTTAGTGAACCAGAGGGGTTTCTACAAGAAGCAACAATGGTTGTCATTAGCTATCTTTTTATTGAATTGAAATTGATGGGATTTGAACCTATGAACCTGGATTAACTAATCCAGTCAGATTACCACTGCACCACCGCAATGCAGCTGCGAGCCGTCACTGACAAAACAAAGCCAGCTCTGGCCAGGAAACTCAGAACAAACATTATTAATCTTCAACATGAACCAGACCAAGACAACAGGTCCCATATTTACACACAAAGAGCAGCGGGATCTGAAACTGCTTCCCCATCTCAGGAAAGCTGCGAATGCTGGGGACAATGACAATGGTCAAAGTCGAGATGTTTTGGCTTTTCCTCTGTCAGGCCGTGATGAGAAATGGAGCAAAGGCAGGTCAAATCAGAAATAAATGACAGAATGGGTCGGAAGGGGCTGAATGGCATCCTCCTGCTAGCAGTGCCCTTACATTGCACGTGGTTTTCAGTCTGTACCTTTGTTTGTGTGATCTGGGCCATTTAAAGCTCCCTGGATCGCAGCTTGAGCTGCAGAATTTTGTGTCTTCAGCATTTCGATGGTCTCTCTCAGCTCAGTGAGCTCTGACTCCTGTGGGAGAGAAATAGGAAGCTGTTTCATTGAAATGGAGGCAGCAGTTCCACCAGACACAAACCCCCAACCAACCCACCCAAACTAACCACTCCCACCCCACTCCCCTGCCCCCACAGTTAGCTGCTACCAATCTGTAATGTTGAGTTCATCAAAGTCAGTGAATCCATCCAGTTTAGTTAAAACCAGTATTAATCACACCAACTGTAGGCGCACATTCGGTCAGGAGTAATTGAGATCACACAAGGCAGATAATTTTAGCATTAGCAAGGACATTAATGGGAATTTATGGAGAGGTGATGGCCTAATGGTATCTTCGGTGGACTATTAATCCAGAGACCAAGTTAAGGCTCTCTGGACCTGGGTTCAAATCTCACCACAGCAGATGGTGGAATTTGATTTCAATGAAAAGTCTGGAATTAACGTTCTATTGATGACCGTGAATCTATTACCAATTGTTGGGAAAAACCATCTGGTTCACTAATGCCCTTCAGGGAAGGAAACTGCCATCTTTACCTGGTCTGGCCTCCATGTGACTCCAGACCCACAGCAATGTGGCTGACTCTTAACTGCCCTCTGGGCAATTAGGGATGGGGCAATAAATGCTGCCCTAGCTAGTGATGCCCTCATCCTGTGAATGAATACAGAAAAAAAAATCAATCTGAACATGAACAGATTGAGTGCAATTTAAGCCGATGAACTCAGTGTGTCAGCTGTGAGCAGTGAATATTGGTCCAATATTTATCCCTCAACCAAGATCACAAAGATGCAATTGAACGTGGTCGTTGTTTCATTGCTGTTTGTGGGAGGTTGCCTTGGATACATTGGCTATGATATTCCCAATGTCACCGCAGAGACTACATTCCCAAAGTCCTTAATTGGCTGTAAAGCAGTTTGGAATGTCCTGAGGTTGTAAAAGGTGCTATATTAATGCAAACTACTTTAATTTTATTATGTCAATGATTAAGAGAATGGGGTGGGGTGTATGAATCTCTCCCAATTAAAAAATCACATTCAAAGTGATGGTGTAGTCTACACAGGCAAACTCTCACCTGCTGTTGGAACATTACAGCTGTTCCCACTGACGCAATGAGAGTTAATCCAATAGATGTTTAACTGTTATTTTCAAATCCTCAATGGAGTGATCAAGGAAATATTATTCTCTCTGACTTGGGGGGAGTCAGACCTTTCTTTCTACAATTATGCAGCATGTAATGTCTCATTACTTTTCAGGGAAAGTTGGATAAACAGTTGGTTTGGTTGAAGGGGGTTGAGACAGCGAGATAATGGAATGTTTCTTGGATTGTTCTCACAATGAGCTCGCTCAGACACGATGGGAAAAATAGCCTCCTCCACACTGTCATTTATTTAATTTCCAAGTTTCATCTTTCAACATACTGTTGGTGTTTCCTCATGGTCAGTTAAAAAGTTCACACAGTGAAGTTAAAAACATTTCTACAATTAAAAATATAGAATCTGTTATTCCAGCTGGTTAGTTGTCCCTTCCCCTCCCCCTTTTCTGATGAAGGGTCTAGGCCCGAAACGTCAGCCTCTCTGCTCCTATGATGCTGCTTGGCCTGCTGTGTTCATCCAGCCCTGCACCTTGTTGTCACTACATTCTGTTAAGTTAGCCAAGAAATATGAGGCAACTTTCATGAAAGGAAGGGAGATTTTTCACATGACTCACCTTTTGCTCAGCAGTCATGGTTAAGTTCTGCAGCCGGGAGGTCATGTTGCTTAAACTCTGTTCGAAAGCAGCCACGAGGTGAGCCTGTCAATACAGGATGGCGGTTAAAATAGTTACATGAAAATTATTCTGTTGCTATCTGTACCTCCTCAACGAAGCAGGGAAAGTCACAACAGCCAGCATCTCCTGTGAAAGCAGTACATGATTACAATCATTACGTTTTAAAGAAAGACAGAAAGGAAGGCTTGCATTTATATATCTCCTTTCACAATCACTGGACACCTCAAAGCATTTTACAGTGAATGAGGTAGTTTTGAAATGTAGTCACTGTTGTAATGTAGGAAATGTTACTGAAATAATACCACAGAGGCTGGTATCCCATCACCAAGTGACCCTTTATATATACATGATCAATCTTTGACTGTAGTACTGCCTCATTCAGAGCCAGCTCTCGGTGTGTCAGTATCTCTGATACTCCTGTTTATATCTGTCAGCCAGGGCACCCTGATTGGATCAGGTTAACAGCACCAGTCAGGGAGCTCATATTCTATGAGGTCCACCTGGCTGATCTTGTAACTATCACCATAGTTACAGTAAATTTGTGCACAGGAAAGTCTCATAAACAGCGATGTGAAACCACGTAATCTGTTTTTGTGATATCGAGTGGGAGATTTATATTGGCCAGAACATCAAGGAGAATTCCGCAACTGTTCAGAATAGTGCCACGGGATCTTACAGATCCATCCAAGCTGGCAAATAGGGGCCTTAATTTAACATCTCATCTGAATGACGGCACTTCCAGCAGTGCAGCACCCCCTCAGCACACGGCACACAACATTCGCCTTGAGTTTCGTGCTGAAACGCGGGAGTGAGATTTGAACCTGGAATCACGTGACTCAGAAGTAAGCGTGCTCCCCGCTGAGCCACTGTGATATTACAGTCGATCGATAAATCTAACAAGTTTGTTCACAAATGTACATAATTGGTGGTCAGTTACATGCAATAATTTAACAAAGCAGCAAAGAGCATCACTCTGCAATAATCAGAAAGTGATTCACAAGTACACCAGTATTTCTGAGCATTTTCACAAATCTGGAACCTTGCCCTGGGGTTTTTGCTGGGTCAGAGATAGGGCTACCACACAGTGTAGCGGACTGGGATCAGAGAGCCTGTACACTCAGAGAAGCAACTTCCAAAAATGACCAATTCAGAAAAGCAGACTGACTGATTGGAATCAGAGACAGTAGGAACTGCAGATGCTGGAGAATCTGAGATAACAAGAGCTGGATGAACACAGCAGGCCAAGCAGCATCAGAGGAGCAGGAAAGCTGACGTTTCGGGCGTACACCCTTCTTCAGAAATGGGGGAGGGGGGGGGGGTTCTGAAATAAATA